TTGGTGGTGAATGCCTTTAATCCTAGCACTTGTGAGGCAGAAGCAGGAGGATCTCAGTCAGTTCAAGGCCAGCCTGGTCTACATTGGTAACTCTGGGACAGTTAGGACTACACAGAGAGACCCTATCTCGAAAAACAAGAACAACAACAAAAAGGAGACAGTCAGATTTTCTGACAGCCTAAATTTGTGAGATATTATTAAAGGTGAATTTGCAGAATTTTTGTTTATTGGAGATGATGAATATAATCATTTAATTAGTATTGTATTTAATTTTCACTTAAAAATAGTAATTCATAAAATTACAGTGGAGGACTATTGAAATTGAATGGTTGCTTGAATGTATTTGTGCTTGTCAGATACAGATTCTGTCATACGGTGTTATGGATCATAGCATATATTGTATTTTAGCATGGCAATAGAAGCTTAATGATAAACTGTAGTGGGGGTTTTAATTGTTGTTATTGTTGTTTTCTTTTTAAACAGGGTTTCATTATGTAGCCCTGGCTGGCCTAGAACTAGCTATATAGACCAGGCTGGCCTTAAGCCCACAGAGATAGGCATGTCACTGACTCCTTTATATTGGAGCTCAGGGCTTGAGCTACCAACCACACCTGGCTTTAATGGTAAATTGTTGATTCTTTTAGCCATGTTGCATTTTAATTAGTTTTTGGCAATTGCAGAATTTTCAAAACTGAGGAAGTAAGCATTTGAAAAGCTTTATGATGGTCATGATTAAGTAGGACAATGGTATACAGACCTAAAAAAATGAAGACATTTGGGACTGTTCCTGAAGAAGAGTAAATGCCAACATATTTTACGAGTAATTAAATAATACAAATAATGGGAATTTAAGTTCTCATTAGAAAAGACCAGTATACTCTATCACATTATTATCTGATTATATAGCGCTTAAAAAAGTAAGCACTATCTTCACTCTCCGACTATACATAAGTCAGGGGTCAATAATCTTTCTAAAATGGGTCACATTAGTATTACCTTTATGTGCATATAATTTGATCGTGATAGTCAGCTCTAAACTTGAGTAGGAAAGCAGCCGTAGACAGATAGCATACATAGGCATAATGATGTCCCAGTAGAGCTTCATTTATAAGAAAGGCAGCAGACGATTTGAATTGATGCCTGAGATTTATCAGCCCCTTAAATAAACTAGCTGTCCTGCAGTGGATAACTTGATTAAGTAAAGCAGGTATGCATTGGGTTTGTTGTTGTTGTTTGTTTTAGCCATAAACAGTAGGCAATGAAGGAAGTTAGACCTTTAGAAGCAAATTATATGGGTCTGTCAAGTTACTTTTTATCTGAGAGGGAAAATGAAATCAAGGATACAACAGAGTCTGGGTGGTGGTGGCACACCTTTAATCCCAGTATTTGGGGAGTCTGAAGCAGGCAGATAGATCTCTGAGTTGTAAGAGCTAGTTCCAAGGACAGGCCCCAAAGGTACAAAGAAACCTTGTCTTGAAAAAAGAAGGAATACAGCAGTGTCACAAAGCTAGAACCTAAGGTAACCAGGCAGAATTCTCAAAAAGCAAAAGAATTCCAGAATTATACACTTGGAATCCTTCTGAGAACTAAATGACACTAATCTGTATGTGTAGAATACAGATTGCCTCTGCCTCCTAGGTATTGGGATTAAAGGCATGCACCACCACTGCCTGGCCCTCATGACCTTTTGAAAGCTCTATCTACTAATACCATAATGATGGTTGAATTTCAAGAGTTTTGAAAGGACCTTTTTTTTTTTAAAAAAAAGAAACTTTTAAGTTTCATTTTTATGTGCATACCAGATCCCCTGGAACTGGAGTTACAGACAGCTGTGAGCTGCCATGTGGGTGCTGGAAATTGAATCCAGGTATCCCAGTGTTCTTAACTGCTTAGCCTTCTCTCAGCCTGTAAGGAACTTTTAAAACTGAGCTAATAGTTAAAATATAGTGACTAATTAGATAAGCCACATTTGTCTCTGAAATCAGCCATATGGAGGATTGTAGCTGTGAGTTGCTAGGAGGTTGTGGAAGTGAATTGTTTGTTAGTGGATGGAAAGTTTAATGCTAGCATAGTGAGTGTGACCATGGCATTGATGATTTGGCGTAACCGATGTTTGATGTGTATGCATTGGAGGAGTTTTTTTGTGTTTTAGTTTCTTCCCAGTGAATGTTGTATAAATGTAAGCAAATGTGAAATGTGTAATATACTGATATAATTCCCTAATATGACAATTCCTTTGCAACAGATTCTTAATTTCAAGTGCATTAGTATAGGAAAGCTGTCTAAATGAACAGAGCTCATCACAGTAACACTTGGTCTAACTTTTCAATATTATTGTCTACTGTGGTATGAAATTTACTAGTAAATAACTTTAAAATGGGCTTTTAATAGACCCAGGGCCTGAACAGATGAGTAGTTAAGAGTATTTCCTGTGGCTTGGCTTTCATGGCACACTCTTTAATCCCAGCACTCTGGAGGCAGAGGCAGAGGCAGGCCTGGTCTACAAAGCAAGTTCCAGGACTGCCAGGATCAAAAAAAAAAAAATTAAAAATTAAAAAAGTACTTTCTGCTTTTATAAAGGGCCCAGGTTCAATTCCCAGCTACCACATGACAGTTTATAATTGAAATTCCAGTTCCAGAGGACGTAATGCATTCTTCAGGCCTCTGTGGGCATGCATGTGGTACATACACCAAATACATACAGGCAAAACACTTATGTACCTGAACTGTAAATAAATAATTTTAAGGACAGAACCAAATCGGACATGGTGGTGTATATCTGTAATCTCAGCACTTAAGTGGGAAGCATTAATAGTTCATGCCATCCTTGGCCATCTAGAGAGTTTGAGGCCATTCTCTGCCATATGAGACTATCTCTAAAAACAAAGTTGGAGGAGGAGAAGGGAGAATCTTGACAACACTCTTATTGTAAAGTAAAAATAAAAGCATACTCTTCAGTGATAAGTCTAGCAAAATATGTGCGAGAACTATGTATTTGAGAATACTGCTGAGAGGTTAAAACAATCTAAGTTAATTGTGAGATCTGCTCTGTTTGGAAACTAACTGTTAAGAAGATGTGTAGATCACTTTTTTGTTGGTTTGCTAAAATAACCATGACCAAGGCAACTTAAGGAAGAGATAGTTTTGTTGTTGTCTCAGTTTTTTTTTTCTGTTTTTGTTTTTGCTTATGGTTCTCGAAGGATGAGTTCGTCATGGTGGGGAGTTCTGAAAGCAAGGAGCAGACATAGCTACAGGAACACAATGCTGAGATCTTAACCTTTTCAGAGGCAGGCACAAAAGCAGAGAGCGAATTGAAAGTAGGGGAGGGATAGGACTCTCAAAGCCTAACCCCTAAATGATCTGTTTTCTCTAACCAGGAAACCTCTCCAGATAGGGCTGCAAAGTGGTGAACAAATATTCAAATGCCTGAGCCTAGAGGGAACATTTCTCATTCAAGCCATCACAGATGATATCTTTTCTCCCCCAGATTGTACACAGTCAGTTTGTTCCCGATCAAAATTTTTATTGGGCTATTAAAAAAATAGATATTAAGAATCTAATTCCAAGATGGGGTGGTGGCACACGCCTCTAATCCCAGCACTCAGGAGGCAGAGGCAGGCAAATTTCTGTGAGTTTGAGGCCAGCCTGATCTACAGAGAGAGTTCCAGGACCGCTAGGTATACACAGAGAAACCCTATCTCAAAAAAAAGCCAACAAAGAAAATCTAATTCCAAAGTTTAAATGAAAATTCAGAGAACTTAGAGTGGACAGAGCAGTTTAGAAAATGAACAAAGTTGGAGAATTTAACTAGATTTGAAGACTTACCTAGGATAATCAAGGCATGGAGACTAGTAACCCAGAAATAGATCCATGTTATAAGGTTAGTTACTTTTGACTGAGGTACCAGGATTATTCAGTAGTGAAAAGCTAATTTTTTAAAAAATATTAACTGAGTGTTGGTGGAAAAAAATTATCTTAAGCTAGTACTTCCTATTGTACTTGCAAATTAACTTGAAAGAGATCCTACACATAATGCAAAGCAAAAATTTAGAAGAAAGTAGATAAGCATAATTTTCTGACAGAGCTATAACACATCTCATAGGTCATAAAGAATAGTTATGAAGAAGAAAAAATGCTTCATTAAATATTATGTTGGTGGTTGGAGGGATGTCTGATCCATTATAGAGCTATTCTTGCAGAGGACCCGAGTTCAGTCCAGCATTCTTGTCAGGTAACACAAAGCTGCCTTTAACTCCAGCTTCTGGGGGATTCATCTTCTCTGTTCTCATCAGGCTTCTTTACTCACTTCTACATAACCCCCAACCACACATACACATAATTAATGTAAATCTTTTTATTTTATACAGAAAAATATTACCTTGAAGCTGGAGACATGGCTCAATGTAGTTGCACTTTCTCACTGGGACCGCCAACCTGCAATTCATGACCAAGAGACTCAAAAGTTATGAATGGTTGACTTTAGCTTAGGCTTGCTCCTAACTAGTTCTTATTACTTAAGTTAACCCATATTTTTTTTTTATTTACATTCTTCCACATGGCTCTTTATCAAATCTTTGTACTGCCCATCCTCCTTCCTCTGCATCTGGCTGCTGTCTCTGCTTTTTTCTTCTAGAGTTCTCTCTCTGCCCAGAAGTCCCACCTATATTCTCCTGCCTAGCTATTGACTGTTCAGCTTTTGATTATACCAATCAAAGCAATACATCTTCACACAATGTACAAATATCCCACAACATATCCTTGGAGGCATTTTACTATTTGTTGAAGGAGTAAGGGAAACCCAGAGATTTGCACCCCAAGCAAAGCATTTTTCTAATTATTGTTTATCAAAAACTTGGGAATCAGATTTTGGAGTAAGAACTTGAATGATCAGAAAAGCTACAGTGAAGCAACCAGTGACCCTCCCCCTCTCATTCCTCAATCCAAAGAAGCTGAGACTCTCTAAACCCCACCCTGTACTCCTTGTGCTTTTCTGTTCTCAGTCCTCCAAACCCTCTGGTAAATTTTGGTCAGCTAGTAGCTAGCTCTACCCTCTGATTCAAAGCAAACTTTATTGAGAGTCTTGGGAGCTTTAGGATGTGCTCAAAATATCCAGGGACAATTCATATATTGAGAGTAAACACTGCTCTTTAAGAGGACCTGAATTACATAGCAAAACCCCATCTCAGAGCAACAAAATCACTTTTCCATGGATGGTGTTTATAGGCACTCAGCATGACCCATACTATTGTAGTCTTTCATATAATACAGTCTCTATAAAAACTAGTGCACCTCGAACCCCTGGTGATAAGATTGTTTACCTTTATACCAAGAAGTTTGGGAAGGCACTAAAATTGGTGTGTGCTGTTAAGACCTAAAGTCTTTATCAGATTATTCAAAAAGCATAAAGAAGTGTGTCATATACGTGGTTTCATGTATGCTAAATGTGTTTTTGACAGGATCAAGTGTACTTTCTTAATTTGAGTAGTAGAAAATTGTTGTGAAAGTATTAAAGGCACAAAGAGTCAGAGAGTGAAGTAATTATGGAGGTTTTTAAGAAATAGAAATCAAAGTTTATTTTAAAGAACAACAGTGAAATTACAAAGTACATTCTATACACCTGTGAAGAGATAAAACTGTTTGTGATCATGCCACTACCAAATTGTACTATCCCATTGTCTTGGATTCTTGTTCTTTAAGCAGGTTGCTCATGTTCCTTTAGCATACATGTCCCTTTTCGTGAAGCAAATGTGATGGTAAACACTATAGTTTTAACAATTTATGGGGAATGCCATGACAATGGTTTCATTTTCATTTCAGGTGAATCTGGTCTTGGAAAATCAACTCTCATAAACAGCTTATTCCTGACTGATCTCTACCCAGAAAGAATTATACCTGGAGCTGCAGGTGAATATTTTTATGTTACTGTTAAGTATAATTTTTACCTGAATATTGTTAGAATATATAATTGATACCTTAAGTCTTAGATGTGTGTTTTGCTTAGTCGTTTTGTGTTTTATAGACTGTCCACTTAAGTATGGAAAGTGGGCTCTTTCTGAGCTCCTAGGATCTTGATTGTAGACTTTGTTCTGTATCTGTGCAACTAAACTTTATTTTGTCATCTAGTAAAGTCCTAGTTTTCTATCTCTATTGTACTTTGGATGAGAAACTCAACTAAAAGAATTTTATATCTTTAAAAAGTTACATAAGCTGGGTGGTGGTGACACACATCTTTAATCCTAGCACTTGGCAGGAATACCTTCTTGCAAGTCATTTTTCATAAGAACATAGATAATGGATAATCTTTCCTTTAGTATGTTTGATTTTTAAAGTACATTTTCTATTAAGTTTGTTTCTTTTCTAGAGAAAATTGAAAGAACTGTCCAAATTGAGGCTTCAACTGTTGAGATTGAAGAGCGGGGCGTCAAGCTTCGGCTTACAGTAGTGGACACACCTGGCTATGGGGATGCCATCAACTGCAGGGATTGGTAGGAATCCAGAGGGTGCAGAACCCCTAAAGTGCCAAGTGCTATGCATTTTTTCACTTAATTGAATGGTTTAATTTATAGACAATGTTAATAACACTTGAAGTGCTGGATTTAATCATTTTAAAGTACTAAATGTTGGCTGTTTTGAAGCTGTGTTTCACTATATCATATGGACTGGCCTTGAATTCAAAATTCTGCCTCGTCTTCCTAAGTATTTTGATAATACATTTGAGCCACTATGTTCAGCTTGAGAATTTTTCTAAGAGCACTCTAATAAGACCTGAGATTCAAAAGTTAATCTGTAATTGCTAACATAAAGCACTGTGATATGAACTGCAACCAGTGGACCAGTTGCTGTTTGTAGTATATGTACGTCCCTTCCATGTGGTAGGAGGTGAAATTGAGTCATAGTACCTGTGAATGACTTCCCTTTGCCATTCTTTTCACAAATAAGGAAATTAAGAAGGTTAAGCAGCCTGTTCATCGTGCAGAAAAATCCTACTTTTTTACCTGCGTCCTCGTTCTAAACCTGCTAAAATAAAGCGTCAACTTAGCATCACTGAGAAAAGGAACAAGGGGGATGGGGTTCCTTTTTGCCCTTCTTCTGCATTAAGAATGCCCCCCTTCTCACCATTCTGTGAATGTGCTATCCTGTTTGACACCTTATGTAATTCTGACTTGGACTGCATGCTTTCCCATAGTGCCCTGCTTCTTGGCCTCCTGTGAAGCAGTGGTACCTTTTGAAAGGGTTGGCAGCCTTCTAATTCCACAGGCTACCTGTCAGATACTTTGTAACTTGCTGTACTTAGGTTGTTGAGTCCCATTTTTTTTTTTAACCAAACCTACTTAGTACTTGTTACACTTTAAACATACACACATGCACGTGCACACACACACCTTCATTTTGCTAAAGATTTAACAGTCAGTCTTCTCTTATGGATTGTTTTATGTACTATATGGGAAAGAGAAGAGAAACTTGTTTTCCTTTGAAGTTAGTGACTGCCTGTCACTGTACCCATGATTACTCTTGAAATTTGTGTTTCAGTTTTAAGACAATTATCTCCTACATCGATGAGCAGTTTGAACGCTACCTACATGATGAGAGTGGACTGAACAGGCGGCACATCATTGATAACAGGGTTCATTGTTGCTTCTACTTTATCTCACCTTTTGGACATGGGTGAGTCAGTTGTTTATCACGGAAACCTGCTGCATGTTGTAATATAAGAAGTGAGATGCTTTTGAGAAAAACAAATTGTGTTGTATGCATATTCTTTCCCTAAATGTGACTTTTGAATATTGTTTTTAGATTGAAGCCCTTAGATGTTGCGTTTATGAAAGCAATACACAATAAAGTGAATATTGTGCCTGTCATCGCAAAAGCTGACACACTCACTCTGAAGGAACGTGAGCGGCTGAAGAAAAGGGTAAGAGCTGGGCACCCATGCCTCCTCAGCATGACTTTGAACCAGCTCAGGAAGCAGGAGGAAGGAAGAGTGCAACTGAGTTGCCAGAGGCAGGACTACAGAATTCATTTCCCATTGTGTTTTGGAATTAAAAGCTTACTCACTATTTGAAGAGTTTTTGTTTGTTCTAGTTTTTACTTTTCATCCTCACAGAAAGAATCAAATTTGTAGAGTTTAAATTCTTTTTAGATAAAATTAGCCTCTTTGAATAACAAGTGTCTGAGTAAAAGGAACTCCCACAAGTATTAAGTGAATGATATAACGAAAGGGTGCACTGGGGTCTGGCTTGTTTGTTGTTGGGGTTTTTGTCCTGCCCGGTACCCCCAGCTGTTTAGCCCCAAAGAAAATCACACATAGGTCTCTGTAAATTATAAGCTGATTGGCACATAAGCTTTAGCCTCTCACTGGCTAACACATCTTGATTAGCCCATTTTTCTGATATATGTTAGCCATGTGGCTCAGTACCTTTTTTCAGTGGGGCAGCTCACATCCTGCTGCTTCGGTGGTCTGGGTAGGAGTGGGAAGAATCAGCTTCCTCCTTCCCAAAATTCTCCTGTTCTCCTTACATCATTTCTACTTCCTGTCTGGTTTTCTCACCTATATTTCCTGCCTGGCTAATCAGCGTTTATTTAAAACATGATTGACAGAATACAGACAATTCTCCTGCACCACTCCAGGAAAGCCTGTTTTGCTGCAGTGGTCCACTTAAGAGCGTGTCTAAGTAGAACTGTTCCCTGTGTTTGGGAAAATAACCTGATGCATCTCAGCCAGTCCAACACTGACCAGTCTCTATGGTTCCCTGTTTGGTTGTTTGTTATTTTTATTTTGGTTTTCTGAGATAAGGACTAAAGGCATGTGCCACCATGCCCAGCTCAAGATGAGTTAATTCAATAATTTTAATATTTTGAGATAGTCTCAGAGTGTAGCCTTGGCTGGCCTGGAACTAGCTATGTAAAACAGGGTGGCTTTGAATGCAGAGGTCCACCAGCCTTTGCCAACAAGCACTGGGATTACTCTTCCAGAATTCTTTTATACATTATACATACTTCTTCTCATCCATGATTATGTATGAAACGCCTGCCTGTTGCCCAGGAACTTTAGGTGCTCACAGTGTCTCTTTGTTCTCAGATTCTTGTCTTGGTAGATGATGGTGGGAATATTTTCGGTTTAGCTGTTGTACTGGGGCTACTGCTTTGTATGTGGAAAGTGATGGCTTGCCCGCGATTATTACTGTTATTGTTAAAAGTGCAAACATAAATAACCTTTTTAACAGTTCTTAAAGTACTTGAAAATAACTTAGTTGTTTAGTCCTCAATATACAAGTACCTCTTATGTATTTCTTGGTATATTATTTTGGTTTTGTTGTCACTGTTTTAAGGTGATCTTACTTGTAGTTCTGGCTTATCTGGACCTTGATAAGTAAATTAAATTGGCTTTGAACTTAACAAGGGTCTGTTTTGAGTACAGTTCTTCTGAATTTCTAATATGGGTTAGTTAAAATTATATACAGTTAACTAAAATTGATTCAATAACAACTTGTTATTGTTCCAGATTTTGGATGAAATTGAAGAGCATAACATCAAAATTTATCACTTACCAGATGCAGAGTCAGATGAAGATGAAGATTTTAAGGAACAGACTAGACTCCTCAAGGTAAGAACTGGCTCCAGATATATAACATAAACAGCTCTCTTCCCTGTTTTCTTATATACATATTTTAAAAGACAAATTTGATCAAGACTGGGCAAGTTGTATTATAGTAATATATTTTAATTTCAGTATATTTAGGAAATTTTTACTTAAGGCTTGAACATGTCATTGCAGATTTGATTTGCCCTATTTGGAAAATAACTGACATTTCTAAGTAAAATGTGTATGCATTTAGCACTCAGTCAAACATAGTTAAAGCCAGGTGTACTGGCATGCCTATTCAATACCAGCACTGGAGGCTGGGAAATGCAGAGGTAGGATAATCACTGTGAGTTAGAGATTATTCAAGTCTGCATAGCCAATTCCAGGCCATCCATAGCCTGTCTCAAAACAACAATAACAGAAAAAGGAATTTTGTAATACAGTAACATGGAGCCATTTCTGTGTCCATTGTTGTTTACAGTGAACATTGGTATTCTCCTACTATCTTATATTTCTTTCTAGGCCAGTATCCCATTCTCTGTGGTTGGCTCCAACCAGTTGATTGAAGCCAAAGGCAAGAAGGTCAGAGGTCGTCTCTACCCATGGGGTGTTGTAGAGGTGGAGAACCCAGAACACAATGACTTCCTGAAGCTGAGAACAATGCTCATGTAAGACATTGATTGTATTCATTATGGCACGGTATACAGGGTACACCTGTATCAGACTGATAAGACCATTGCAGTCAGGGACTGAGGTTCTTTATTCTAACTTCTTTCTCATAGTACTTGTTCTTGCTCTCTCTTCTTAAGTCACTGATGCTAAAGGAAAATTAAACCTTAGCTATGGCCCAAGAGGTGCTAGGTCTTGGTATAGAAGAAGGTGGACAGCCTCTTGGAGTTGTCCCAGGCCCAGCTCTGACACATGGTGCTCCTCTTTGTTAGCCTGAAGATTTCACATTTGATGGTCCCAGGTATCCTTGAGGTTTCTGTTTATTTTTAGCAACTGTTAAACTTCTTTATAGTTGAGTTTCATGTCTAGTATTAAAGATGTTGGTTGGCTTCAAACTCAATGTGTATCCAATTATGACTTAGAACTTCTGATTCTCCTACCTTCCTGGTGCTGGTATTCTAAGCATGTGCCACCACACCAAGTTTGTACTGGAACTGAACTCAGGGCCTTCTGCATGATAAACCAGCTCTTTACTAACTGAATTACATCCCCAGCCCCATGTTGTTACTAAGAGAGTAAAGTATAGCTGTGACTTTTCTGTTGCTGTGATAAAACACCAGAACAGCGACAACTTGTAAAAGGGGCGAGTCTGCTCTGGCAGGGAAGCTGCAGGAATGGTAGTCAAAGCTGAGAGTCCACTTCTTTAACTGACCACAAGAATCAGCAAGAACACACTGTAAGTTGCATGATGCTTTGAAATCCTAAAACCTACCTCTTTTAACAATAACAGACTTCTTCCAGTAAGGCAACAACTCTTAAACCTATCCAAACAGTGCCACGACCAAGTATTCAAACATCTGAGCCTGCGGGGAACTTTTCTCATTCAAACCACCACACTAGAAGAAAGCATATAGTTTAAAAAAAAAAATACACTTTGAGGGAAGCTGAAGATATAACTCAGCAGTAAAATGCAGGCTACTCAAGCATAAGGACCTGCACTCGGATCTTCAGCACTCACAGAAAGCAGTCTGGGTACAGTGACACATTACTGTGATCCCAGCATTGCAGAGGTGGAGACCGGGAGATCACTGAGGTTCACTGGCCAGCCAACCTAGCCACATCAGTAATTCTAAGTTTATTATTAAATCCTCTCTCAAAAATGCGGTAGAGAGAAGGCAGTGGTGGCGCACCAGAGAAGCAGAGGCAGGTGGATCTTTGTGAGTTCAAGACCAGCCTGGTCTATGGAATGAGTTCCAGGACAGCCAAGGCTACACAGAGAACCCCTATCTTGGGGAAATGGTAGAGAGAGCCAATGAAATGTGTCAGTTGCTGGCAATGGGGTACTGCAGAGCCTGTGCATATGGACTATGGTGGAAGCACACACATATAATTTGCCTGTATATTTTTAAAAAGAAGATGAAAGGGCTAGAGAGATGGCTCAGCAATTTAAAAGTATAATCGGACTTTCTTTGGAGCGCAGCTCTCAAATAATGACATGGAGACTTCTTATTATAAAAGCTTGGCCTTAGCTTAGGCTTGTTCCCAACTAGCTGTTAAAACTTAAATTAGCTGTGTGTGGTAGTGCACGCCTTTAATCCCAGCACTTGTGGGGCAAAGGCAGGATCTCTGTGAGTTCAGCCTGGCCTAAAGAGCAAGTTCCAGGACAGCCAAGGCTATACATAAAAACCTTTTCTCAAAATCGGGGTCGGGCTAATGACAAACTTATTTATGTTAACTTGTTTATGTTAACCTACTTTCTGCTGTGTAGCACCTCTCTTCAGTACAGTATGTTCCACTTCCTCTATGACCCCCCCCCCCACACACACAAACAAATCAGATCCTTTCTAGAGTTCCTATCTCTGTCTGGAAGTCCTGCCTATCCTCTCCTGCCTAGCCATTGGCCATTCAACTCTTTATTAAACCAACAGAAGGTATTGTAGGCAGGTGAGGTAAAACAGCAACACATCTTCACCACAGTGTGATCAAATATCCTGCAACATAAAATATTTGCTGTCCTTGCAGAAGACCTGGGTTTGTTTCCCAACACCTGGATCTGGTGGGTCAAAATTGCCTGTAACTCTAGCTCCAGGGAATTGAATTCCCTCTTCTTCTTTTTTTTTTTTTTTTAAGATTTATTTATTTATTTATACAATATCCTGCCTGTAGGCCAGAAGAGGACACCAGATCTCATTATAGGTGGTTTTGAGCCACCATTTGGTTGCTAGGAATTGAACTCAGGACCTCTGGAAGAGCAGTCAGTGCTCTTAACCACTGAGCCATCTCTCAAGCCCTTGAACTCCCTCTTCTGGCCTTTGCGAGCGCTTGTGTATGTGTGTACACACACTTCCTTTTTCATTCTACCCTCATTTCTTCTTCTGTATTTCTCTCCCTTTTCCCTCCCTATTTAGACCCCTCTCCCATTTTACCTTCTTTTTAAAGTATTGAGAATAAAGAAGACATCCGAATGTAGATGTTTGACCTTTGCGTGTGCGCGCGCTCTCTCTCTCTCTCTCTCTCTCTCTCTCTCTCTCTCTCTCTCTCTCTCTCGCTCACATGATAAAGAAAATAAATAGAAACCAGTAAATTATTTCAGCCAATAAACATGCATACTACCATACTTGACTACTTGAATTTTATCTGCTGGATCCATATGGCAGAAGGTGATAACTGACCCCTGCATGTTGTCGTCTGACCTTCAGGCAGGCCATGATACAAGTGTTTCCCCATAAATAAGTGTAAACTTAGAAAAGTGTCGTGGTCCAGTGGACCGGCTAACATAAACTATCTCTATTGACCAGCATGGAGGCACAGGAATAAAGACACAACTCACATGGCTCTATCGGGAGGGAAATTGTTCGTGATCCCTCATGAAATCCTGAGTTCACATCCTGAGAAATTCCTCTTGTTTATTCTCCAAACAGCCTTATATATCAAAACATAAACTGAGGGTGAAATCCATTAGCATTCTGTTTCCTAGTTAACCAGGTGAATTTTTAGTCACGTCCATATTTACTTATGTCTCCTCTGTTACGTCTTTCTGGTCAATATGCTAGCTCAGTCACGTAGGCTTGAATTAGCATCTGTATTCAGGCATCTTCCAAATTACAGAGAAGGAGCAGATCAACATCCTGACCCCTTGTTAGGGTAGGCACAGCCTGTCTGGAAGGCTACCTCAGGTGCAAACTATGAGAGCCTGGATGCCATACCATATAGAAATTCGGGCCTACAGAAAAGGGGATTAAAGACAACACCCCCCCCTTTTTTTTTAAGTATGTACTCCCATCACCCTTGATTCTGAATAGTTTTATAATTAAGAGTAATGACTTTGAACAACAGGATGAAAAAAAGAGAATATACATAGTGATATTTTATTTTGTATTTTAATTAATAAAGCTTGCTTAAAGAAAAGAGTGCAAAGCTAAGCCACTAGAGTGGTGGCACACACCTTTAATCCCAGCACTAGGGAGGTGGAGACAAGAGCGATATGGCTGGGTGGGAAAAGGAATATAAAGGGGAAGAGACAGAAACTCACTGGAGTGTGGAGTTTGAGGTTTGATGGAGATGCACAGTGCAGTCTAGGCAGTCTGAGGATCGCCCCTTCATTCTGAGCATTGGCAGCGGTAAAACGTCTCTCTAGTGGCTTCCTACTCTGCTTCTTTGATCTTTAGCCCTATATCTGTCTCCGGATTTTTATTATTATTCATGCTACAGATATAGTCTATTGAATTCTAAATTTTAGAAGGGGGTGGTTAAAAACCAGGCTGGAGAGATGGTTCAGCAGTCAGAAGAGCCTGCTGCTGTAGCACCCATGTCAGGCTCTCAACAAAAGCTCCAAGTGAACTGACACCCTCTTCTGGCCAGTGTAAGCTCCTGAACATACATGTACACACATAAATAAAAATACAGTTTTTTTTAAAAGAAAAATCCAAAGACATTCTGAGGTGATAATGTCAAGATTAGGCTGGCGTACTGATCTACCTACATGTTAGCATTGTCTCACCAATAGCAGGCTTGTTACTAGTGCAGATCAGGACCCATGGTGTCGTGGCTACTATCCAACAAAGAAAGCGAGCGCCCCCAGTGCCTATTAATGCTATAGGCTGTAAATCGGTACCACTCTTAAAATTCACCTAGAAAATTCTATAAATGTTACAGATGTCAAGTTAACATAAGATTATCTTGGTTTATTTCCTATTGTTGTAATTCATATATTTGGAGCCTTATTTGTCACTTTCTGGAAGCTAGAACGTTGGCATCTGATAAGGGTCTCCTTGCTGTGTTAAAATGAATCAGGTTATCACATGATGAGACAGAACAGATAACCTGTTTTATTTTTATTAGCATGTAATTATACATATTTTGGGGAATAGTGTATTTAGCACCCATATACTATACTATATGTACCAAACAATTTCCTTCTATCACTTCTTTATAGAGCCTTCAACCTTTCCTCTTGTAGTTCTCCATAAAATATACCTTTAATTAAAGAAGTTAAAAGAGAAGTAATTTGAATAAACTAATACTTTGATTAGCTAAAATTGCCTCTTACTAACACTGTTTACTGAATGAGAACCAGTAACATGTTTCCACCTAAGTTATAAATATAATAGCTTTGAAGTACTTAAGACATACTTGGTCTGCAGTGCTGAGCCCATGACTGTCCTAGTCCCTGTCATTCAGGGAATGTTAGTGTTACATGAGAGGTGTGGTTCTCTGTTACACCAATTGTGTATTTCTTAGAATGAAAAAGATGCAGCTACCTTTGTATCCACATTCTTATTGTCTCCTGAGATCCTCAGCAAACAGGGATATGTTGTAATGTTCTCTATATATTTTTTAATGTGTAGTATTTGAAAAAAAAAGCTATGCAAACACCTATTTGAATAGTTTGTTTTTCATAAGATCTTTTAGAAAAATAATGTGTTTTATTTCCGGTATCTTTTACCTAAAAGTCTACTAAAGTCTCTTGTGTATTAGCATTGTACTGTGTTTTGTAGTGCCTGTGACAGTGCTCAGGAGAAAGTGTTCCACCCAAATCTTTGTGTTATAGTTTACTGTGGTTGCAAAGGAGCCCCTTCACCTAGGCATTTCCATAGTTTTATCCTGAGATTCAGCAACCTATGTACAGTTTACTAAATCATTATTTGGGCTCTTAGTACTGGCAGTTTTTTATGTGTTCTTGATTGTTGTTGTTCCCCATGAGACAGCCATACACATAAATCCCTGTTGTATCCCTTCTCTTTTTCAGTACCCACATGCAAGACCTACAGGAAGTGACCCAGGACCTTCATTATGAAAACTTCCGTTCTGAGAGGCTGAAGAGAGGCGGCAGGTTGTGCAGTCTTCCCCATATCACGTTCCCTGAGTCACTTTCACTAGTCTTTGGTGTGTCTACCTCAGACCTCTTGATCACAAACAACATATACTTCCTATTGAAGAATATTAAAAGAATATTCCTAATTCAATCAAATGGGCATGGGGAGGAGACATTCATAATGTGCGGTTTTGGAGGCTAGAGAGGTGGCTCAGTGGTTAAGAACACTTGCTCTTGAAGGACTCCTCTTGCAGGAGATATGAGTTCAACTCCTAGCACCCACATGGCAGCTCACAACTGTCTATAACTCCATTTCCCAGGGATTCAATGCCTTCTGGCATGTTTGGGCACCAGGCATGCTTGTGTGTGGACATGGCAGGTAAAACACAAATATGTGGAATAATAATAAAATGATTTATTTACGCAAACAACTTTAGATGGAAAATCCAGAGGCTTGTTATATTGGTACTTCCTTAGCATTACTGTGTTTATAAGTAAGCAGATTTGCTTGCCTTTGAAAGCTTTCTAGGGTAATTGCTCCATGGGTGTCCCTAGAGTAGCAGCTCTGTTTCCTATAGATTCTATGGGGTTCACCTTTTCTTTTTTACTATCCTAATGTATGTATTTTGTGACCCAGTCTGCATCAGATAAAACCATGTCTTCACTTAAAATGGAGCTGGATAAATAAGTGCTATACATTAGTTACTCAAAGTCTTTTGACAGGGGTTGGAGAGGTGGCTCAGCACTTAAAAATGACTCTGGCCTTTCAAAGGACCAGAATTTGGTGCCTAGGAAGCTTACTACCTGCAACTTTAAGAGATCAGTGCCTCTGGCCTTTGGGAAGCACCAGCACTCGTGTGCATGTGTGCATATATAGACACACATATACACATAATTAAGAATAAAAAAGCTTTTTGGAGTATTGCGATTTTAATTTGAAAACCAGACATTAAGAAAAGGTTTAGAAGGAGGAAGTACAAGAATCCCTACTAGTATACCCTGGTATTGGTGTCAGTGTGCTTAGAGGTGCCTTTCTCAGCCCTGGTCAGTCATGCTCTGCCCACTCAGCTCCTTCTGGCTCCTTCAAGGACAGTTTTATTCACCATAGAGTCATAGAGGGGAACCAAGACCCTTTTGGGTAGACCAGCTAGCTATTTGTGACTGTCAAACAAAAGTCAGGTCATCTTCTGAATTTCCAGTTTCATGTTTTGTTATTTTTTTCATGACTTTAATTTAAAAAGCTGTAAGCATGTAATTATAAAGTCGTGGTCTTCAGAATCTTAAAGTTTTTTTTTCAATTCAGAAGTACATTGCAATATTCCAATTGTAATTTTTTTGTTGTTTTTCTCTTAGGAAAGTGGAGAATGAGGATATGAATAAAGACCAGATCTTGCTTGAAAAGGAGGCTGAGGTAAGTAGAACAGCCATAGTCTACTCAAAAATATTTTCCTATTAAATAATTCTTTTTTTTTTTTTTTTTTTTTT